GCACTGCTTGTCCCAAGCTGTCAACAATTTTGGAACAAGCTGTTAACAACTTGTAACAACCTTATTGATATTATTAGACTTGTTACACGATTGTTCCAACAAGTCCGATACAGTCGTGATATAATAATATTGTTACAACACTGTGTGGTCAACCTTGTAACATACTTGTTATATCACGACTGTATCAGACATGTTAGAACAACCTTGTAACAAGTCTGATAATGCCATCAAACTTGTTACAAGTTGTTAACAACTTGTTCCAAACTTGTTACAACAACTGGGAACAAGCAGTGCGAACACAACTTGTCGACAGCTTGTGAACAGATTTGTAACAACTTGTTTGCAGACCTGTAACAACTTGTGTGTTTTTACATGTGTACTCTGACGACAGTTACAACATGTTTGCGACAGTTACGACCATATGGAAATCAGACTTAAGAATGTGTTCGCACTGCTTGTTCCCAGTTGTTGTAACAAGTTTGGAACAAGCTGTTAACAACTTGTAACAAGCTTGATGGCGTTATTAGACTTGTTACAAGGTTGTTCCAACAAGTCTGATACAGTCATGATATAACAAGATTTTTGCAAGATTGACGACACAAGATCGTAACAATATTGTTATATCATGACTACATTGGACTTGTTGGAACAACCTTGCAACAAGTCTGATAATATCAACAAGGTTGTTACAAGATGTTAACAGCTTGTTCCAAACTTGTTGACAGCTTGGGACAAGCAGTGCGAACACAACTTGTTGACGGCTTGTTGGCAGACTTGCTCCAAGATGTGAGATTTTTGCGTGTGCACACATCTCATTGACAAGCAGTGCGTACACATCTTGTGTAACCATGCATGCACACACCTGTAACTTCTAAACAATAATCCATGCGCTGTGCTAAAGTTGGTAAATTAATTTCATATATGAACTACATACACATGTCCTGACTCCTGAGTTACACGTGGCCAGCTGGGCTGAAGCACACAAAAACGCGTGAAGAGTGCATGTATGACACGTTTTGACACGTGTGTGACAACATCTTGAAAATCGTATTGTTCAAGGTCATCTTTTTATAGTTGTTAAAAAATGCTTGTTTGTCTGCATGACGTTGCCTATATGGGCAATTTAATTCATGGTTTTTTGATTTTGTCCCATTTGTGTTGTGATGTTTTAGAAGATTTCTTGAACTTAGGAAAACACTTTGCGGTCGATAGGCCGGAAGTACATACAATGAAAAATCTGGAAAAGTTTATCTATTTTTATATAAACAAGTCTGGACACGTCAAGTTTATTCTGATAAAAAAAAATACAGTGATAGTGTCATACTCACTCATACATCAGAGGTGTCTTATTGAGTCATTGAAATTGTGTGATCTACTGGTATTACCTAACTTTTCTATAAAGTCGATTTTTAAAAAGATTGTTCCAGAATTATGTTCCAGAATCAAAATGACTATTTTATGAATGCCATATTACGTATGGCGTCGGTGAAGAGTTTATTTTCACCCTAATCCTTTGCCCTAATTTCCGGATTACAAGTGGGTTTTTTTTTTAATTTTAATACACGAATCAATTCAGTTAACAAGTCTTTGTTTATTAATATCAATTGTTTTTATATACAAATATTTGGTCCTACAAAGGCGCTATTTTTTCCGTATCTATAAAGTTTTATTTTTGTCCAGCAAATGTCTTTTTTAAACTAGAATTTTACAAAATCGTTCTTTTTACAGGCTATATACAATTGTGAAAACTTTGAAAGCAACTTTCAAGTCAGAAAATTTCTAAACTACGTAATTTTTTTTCTGCGTCCTACTCGCGGTACAGTATTAGCCATTATTAATATGAAGCCATTATTAATATGAATCCCCATTATATAAATATTTCAAAACTCTATAAAATAACTATTCTCACACAAAAGGTTTGTTGTATGTACATATATACAATTGATGGCATGTATTTAACGCTCCACTGTTTTTTATAGTCCGTACTGTTCTTTTTCTGCCTTGTTACAGGTCTGGACGAAAAACAGTAAAACACCGCTCGAATTCATCCCCAACTCGTGAAAGTATTTGTCCGATTTCTTTACAAATGTTTGCATTTTCTTCTGTCAATCCTGTTGCTTTCGAGCTCTTTTTTTCATCGTCTGATAGTGTGGATTTTCCCGTTGACTTCTGATCGTCTTTTGAGCTCATTTTTAGCACTTGAAATGCCTCCTCCTGTGAAGTTTCAGCAGGTCTTTTGAAATTTGAAAGGAAATAGCTGAATTGACACAACCGCTTTAAGAAAGCCCCGAGTTACCAAATTACTTCTTTCCTGGATACAAGGCTTTGGAAAATCTCTTCAATGATTCACAAACGGCTCTTTTACACAGCTACATAAAGACGGAAACATTTTTGTTTATACAGAAAACTTGATCAGTTGTGCGTACGTGTGAGGCGAAGGTCAATGGCTTTCACACTTCAGTGATGACACACGTTATAATACTACGTCGTAAAATTTGCAAAGATCTCTACTTCCCTTGTGGCTTTACCTACACTAAACTTTTCACATCAATTTAACAAGAGATCAGACATGTTTAAACTTGCCCAGCATTGCCGTAAATTTTCTTTCGCAAGACAACTTTTCAAGTGGCGGCATTAATACAACGTAGTAAAAATACTGCGCGATCGGCCCATTAAAATATATCATATTTACTTGTGTTTTACAACAAAACCAACATTTCTTAACTACATATAAAAGACCCCGACAATTTACCTTTATACTTGAACAGATGATCACAAAATGGACTCCTTTTTAAAACTCGACCGGTCGCTTTAAAAGCCAGGATTGTTTTGATCTAATGATCTTCCTTTCCCGCGAAAAATGTAAACTTGGCGTCCTTTGCACTTCCGGATTGTTTGTCTCGACCAATCAAACCTCTTGATTTCTCCGGCCGTTCGCCCCCCCCCCCCCGGAAAGATAATTTGAAAACTTTGCAAGTTATGCGAATATAAAGACATATACAAATTACCAAACCAACTACATACTGTAAATAAAACTCCTTTTAACGTTGAGTGTTTTTCACCTATTCAAGGACAAGAACTGGGTTTATTTATTACATTTTAAACACATACAAATAATTCGATATTTTACGTCGAAAGACTGACACAATTGTAAGAAAATGAATTAAAATGCGGAAAACCGCAAGGCAACCGCAAGGCCATTGATACATCCTTTTTACGCAAAATTTTACAAGCGTACAGCTAATCTGCGGCCAAGCAGAACGATTCTTTGCATAGTGAATATTTATTTTAGTTGGTTTTTAATATTTAATTAAAATTTTTCGACCTTTTCAATATGTGCTATGTGTTCACTTTTAGCACAGCTTTTAGTGGTATACCGTATACATATAATCTAAACTCTTCGCTGTATGTGAGCATGGACACGAAGGGGATTAACCTAGGATAAATTTAGACAATATTCCTATAACACTAAGCTGCATTGTTAAAAAAAAAAGAAAACAGGAAATGTCGGCTTTCTTTGAAATTGAAAACCATGACTCATTCATGCTGACATTGAATTTTTCATTCATGGTTTATTTGGCTTACAAATCTTTAATTTGCAAGCGGCTATAAGCACAAAAAGTGCCCCATAAGAGAGGTCTAACCTGTAAAAAAGAGTGAAATGTCGGATTCTCTTTTGTAAAATTTGCGAAAATCCCTAGAAAATGAAAACGTAAACAAGCTCTTCTGTGTCGCGACAGAATGAGCCAGATGTTTTTCTTCAGCCAATCATATTGAAGTATTTGATTTCTCCTTGCCCATGATTGGTTGCTTCTAGGCGACAGATGCCAAATGTCAATCATTATTGCCACCAGTTATTAGGCTCCTTCGCGATTTGACTTTGTCGAAGCTCAACGGCTCCAACTTTCAACTTTCAACTTTCCTTAGTTAATTTTACTCGCTTCAAACCTAAAAAAACAATCCAGTTGTAGTTTAAACATTAGTACATATGCTACTATTTTCATTCAAGACTAAACAGTAAGTATCTATAATGAAACTACGTGGTTTCACTTTTGTTGTGTTTACGTTTTATGCTGTTGTTTGTACGCTTTGTAAATTGGACTGCGTGATGGATATGGTATATTTCTTCATTTGTTTTCAAAGGAAACTTCAAAACCTATACCGCAAAACCTACTGAAGACCGTGAGTTACTTCTTGTCTGTTGTGCTATACAAATAGAAACACGGCAAAGAAGGAACGGACCAACGTAAAAGGAGAAACAACTGCGAATAGTTACGGTAATAAAGTCGAGTAAAGGCCGCCATATTTTCCGAAGTTGCACAATGTCATTCGATTCATGTAGCGATTATTCGTCGTCGGATAGCCAAGACAGCCCAACTGAAGATTATTCTAATCCTTTTGATGAAGCTTTTATGAAAGAAACTGAAGATTTAGTCGTCGACTACATCGGTTTCCGTTTGAGATCGAAATTCAGGCAGTCATGTTTGCGTGGACTTCCCCGTGAAATTTTAGTGCCTCCAAGTCAACCGAGCAACAAGGCTATTAATCTTCGGAATCTAGCTACGAACTTAGAAGACCAACACGAGCAGCTTTTTCAGCAAATATGCTTCAAGGTGGATTTGTCAGAGTCTCAAGCGAAGAGAAATTTTGACCGCATTGCGAAGGAGATCTTTACTGAAGGGAATTGGAATTGGGGAAGAATCGTTTCGCTGATAACTTTCATTGGGGTTGTATCTCATCATTTTGTTGAACAAGAACGCCCTGAAATGGTGTGTGAAGTGATTCAGTGGCTGTTGCAATTTATACGTGTTCACCTAATAACTTGGATTATTGAAAAGGGTGGCTGGGTATGTGAAATTTCTTCCTTTTAATATTAAAATTGTAGATATTAACATATTTTCTTTGAATTGTAAGTAGTTCGACTTTGATTCAGACTTGATAATGATATTTTAGTCGAAATTCAACCTAGATTTGGTAGCAAGGAATTTCAAAATTGTTGGTTTCATGAAAGATTCCCTGTTTGTATGTAAAGGAAAGTGGAAAATGGTCACTCTATAAACCACCATCCGGATGTGTGACGTGTTTTATAATATTAACAATATTTCCTAGTTTCAATATATATATTGTTATATATCAAGGTTTATAATAATGTGACAATTTTCCAGACTTGGCAAGAATGACCATGTCAAGTCATATTGGACCTTGGTTACCAATGAACCTGTGGTAGTCTTGTGATGGTGACCAATTGTTACAAATTTCTGGTGTCATTGTCTCTATGGAGGTTGGCGTAGTCTCCAGTCATGTATATAAATATCTACAATTACCGCTTGTAGTAACACAAAAGACTATATTCTCAAGAGCTGTCAAAATTTCTATGATGGTGTTAAAAAAATGATATAAGTACCTTGCAGTCTTGCATGGCAAATAATAATATCAGTTTTGGTTTGTGGAAATGCCACATAATTTGCAGAGCTTTTGATCTGTAAGCCCAGATCATCATCCATTCAAATAATATATGACTAAAAAATCATAGTTTGAAAACTAATTTGTTCTTGGAAATGACCTTTATTTTAACAAAACAGTGTTTACGTTGGCTGATATTGTATTTCATCATCTAATGCATAGATGATCAGACAAACAAATTATTTTCGATCATAATAGCTTTTCCATGTTCCGTCATATGATCAGTTAAAAGATCATTTATAATAAAGATTTTCCCCGGATTTTTATTTTGTTTTCTTAAAAGAAAAACAGCTGCGATGTGCTCTATTGCTCTTTGATATTTTACTTTGTCTAAGGGAGAAGATTTTACTTGTTGAGGGAAAAGTGGCCAGCATTAATATTAACCCTTTAAGTGTGCAATATGCCCTACTTTATTGTTTTACTCTGGTTAATGCCAGATGATTTTACTCATCAAGGGAGTTGCCACCCAATGGGTTAATGGTTAAATAGAAAGATTTGTCTAACAGTTCAGTAGAAAGTACTATGTGTATGAAATTCTAATTACTTTCTTCAACATAGGATGGATTTGTGGCTCATTTTAATGGGAACAAGCAACCAAAGTCATTTTGGACTGGAGTATTTGCAATGGGTGCAATCGGCGCAGCTGGCATCACACTTCTGGCAATGTCAAACAAATAGACAATTTCTCTTGTGACTTCTGACACTTCTGTTAGATCTGTTTGTACATAGAAGGACTTATCTGTATATTAACATAATGCAAAGTTATCTCATTATTTGAGAAGTTAGAATTCACCGTGTGAATAGAACATGTATACTTGGTTTTTTGTAAAACCAGGCACTTGATTTCTAATAAAAGTACTTCTATACAAAACAGGTAAGTTAAGTACTTGCGGCTTAAATACCAAATAATTTTAATCATGCTAAACAACACCATGTGTTACTAACAACCTATATCATTTTAATCAATTTCTTGTATTGAACTGTTGCAGTTTATTTGGGATATTTCCAAATTGCTTTTGAACAACATTTTCGTTTTGGAATACTGCGGATGATTGGATACTGTATTTCAAAACTTTGGCAAAATTTAACATGCATGACCTTACGTAAAACAAATAATCCTGTATAACACTGTTGATATTATTACAGGACAGACTAATCATGTAAAATTTGTGTATTGGACTGCTTACATGTAGTACTTCAGAGCTTACAAGTACTATTGCTGTTGTCTTCAGGCATTTTGAAATAAAGTTTTAAAATTTTTGTCATGTTTGTTTTTTTTAACCCTACTTATTTTATGCTGTCTAACACCAGACAATTTTACTTGTCAACGGGAGAGTGCTAGTGCTCAATGGGTTAGAATATTTTGTTAAGTTTACAATGCATTGAACAACAATACATTCTTCTATTGTTTTACTCTGTCCAGAGTTGTGCTGACTTGTGCATAAATATTTTGGTATTTGTGTTGCCATGTCAACAGATGGTAACTCTTGATAATTCATTTATGTTTGCCAGTGAAAGAAGTTGAATTCTGTAGTGGTATCCCAGTGTTTAGGGTTATGCCCAGAGCCAACATGCATCAAAAGTAGTGGATCCTATTTTTATAACACTGGAATGGCATACAGTATATGATCCAGAAATGAGACTCTGGTGAAAAACCTGTAACCATGCCATGATTGTAGTTGCAAAGTAATCATGTTACTAGCCAGTGCTCTTATGAGCTTGTGCTTCTCGAACGCCTAAATCAAGCTGGCAGTTTTCAACTTTTTCAGGAGATGACAGCCTCTTGTTAGCACATCAGGTAAGTACTTTGCAGTTGTGAATCGTGCTGGCAGTTATGCTAACATCAAAGGCACCAACAAGAAGTAAGACTTGTGTAAGTGTTTATTCTGGGACTGGAAATCCTTGTCATGCATGCTCTCCCCCTCACATTCTTGAAGCAGACTACACCCGAGACAGTGTCTTGTGGGGAGGTCCCAACTCCCGGAGGGCCTGCAGAATTTGTGTGACCTTTACATGGTGCGGCTGGGCCTGTGGATGAGAGGCCGGTACCCCTCCTTTGAAGATGTGGGAATAGCAGATTTTATCATTAAAGAGCATTGAGCAATTTGTGAAACTTGAGTACGATAATTGCACCCATGGGCACTTGTAATGAGATTCTAATGAGATTCTTGTTTGTAAATGCCCTCCATGTGCGCTGAACTGTAGCATGATGAAAGCGACCTATTGTCAAGAATCGCTGACAACATTCCGGGGGGGAAGGGGAGGATGATCACTATCCTGGTGTGCCGCCAAACTACCGGACAGCGGAAATCCGCAATAAAATAAAATCCAATATGGCCGCCGTTTGCCCGCGTGTTTAAAATTAATTTCAATTTTTTCAAACCGTTTCGTTTTCAAACTAAAGCAAGCTACATATTTGAAAGTTTCTTGGTGATGCAGCAAGGTTATATAAACCGCAGTGAAGCTGCGGTCGTACAGTCTTCGTATGAGAAATACAAGTCAAGCAGACAAGTCCGTTTTGGTCTGTTTTGGGCCTTCATCAATTTGGTTTTGGGGGCATTCGCTATCTCAGAAATGTAGGTTTAACTTTTGGTTTGAACCTGGTTCCTATAGGTTAAAGGACTTTAAAAACTACTTGGCAATAGAAGAATCAATAATAATATCTATTTTGTTAAGATTTGTATAAATGTGCATATTTTGACATTTGTTAATAGTTTTTATGGCACAGTATTTCAAAGTTTGAATGTCACCTATCAAGCAATTTTCTGGTACATAGGTAGGTGAATTCTAGTTATTGGATGGACGCTCATTCTCCGACCCAAGTTAGCATTACTATGGATGTGACAGGATGTCACCAAAGCATGGGAACGCTCAAAATTTTGTATAGCATTCACACCCGCAAATGTAGATGAACATGCCTACATAATTTTTTTCATGTTTACAATTCTAATTTTAAACAGCCTCAACATTGTTACTAAGAACCGATCGGCTGTTTAAAGTTAGAGGTGTAAACATGA